ATTGAGCATTTATTAAATGGGACAAATGTTTAAGCTCAAATAATTATTATCATTTTAGTTTTAATTTAATTTAAAAGCGCAAATATGGCATTTTACAGGGTTGTAACATAGCGTACCAAGAAAAAAAGCGTAAGTCATTGCTAATTTTAACGTGGACAAATTTTTTTGGTTCAAATTTGAAAGATATTTTTGAAAAGTCTATTAAAAGGTCTACAAACAAATGTGATTATCAATGCATTGTAACAGATAATAGAAGGTTAAAGTTTATTTTCTTTATTTAACGGTAAAAAATTTTTTGAATTTAATCAACATTAAACTTGATTTATAGTTTAATCTTTATGAAAAATTGCTTAAATTCAAAGTTTTATGAATAAATATTATTAATTTAAAACTGTTAAGATCCGTGTTAAGAATTTATGCTATCCCCAAGAATAACTTATTCAAATAATTTTATGCTTTTTTCTTAAGTTTATTAGCTTCATCGAATGCAGTACTATTTCATTTACGTGATTTTGACTTAATGGATCTTCCTGTAAATCGTTTTATCAATCAGTCTTATATATTTTTTCTCCTTGAATCACCTTATCATACTGGAATTTCTGAAGATAGCTTACCAGACAATTTTTTCAACGTCACATTGACTTACAGGTCATTTAAAATCTAGCTTTACTTATGATTAATTTAAATATAACAGTACAAAAGCATTATTAGTCACTTTATAAATATACTCTAGAGAGCTTTTCTACGACGTATAACTTTATCTATTACACATATTATTACTTTTTGACACATAAAAAGTTAATACTTTTCTGATGAATAATTGATAATCACAACTGATTACACTTTCAAAATTCTTCACACCTTTTTATTGCTCAATTTTTTTTTGCCATTTTTACAGATGATTCAACCTTTGACACAATTTTTAATATTTTACATCATTTTTAATATTTCTTCTAATTTATTTTTTTCATGACCAATAATAATATACAAATTATTAGTAAATATGGTTTAGTGAATAAGATTAGTGGAGTAAAATTTCTCGGAAATCATTATTTTTAATCATTTTTTTTAATAATTATCATTATTTTAATTATTATTTTTTAATCCCTAAAAAGCTATTTTTTTTTTTGTAGTATTCAGATCATTTTCAGTACTGAAGTCAAATTTAATTTGAAAGTAATTAATTTTTGATTTAAAAAAGTTTAGCTTTTATTTTTACTTTTCTTCCTAAAATTAAAACCAAAATAAGTCTTTAATGATTGATAAACTGTTAAAAAGTTTTTTTTTGTAGTAATTTAAATTATTTTCAGCCATTGAAATTAATTTAATTACAGACTTGATAGTGATATTTTATTTCCTTATGGCGTGTGGAGAAAGTTAGACGAATTTACACCTGCAAACCAAAAATGGAATTGGGATGAGGTTTTTAGCTGCTTTTTAAATATTTATTCATCAGCAAAACTTAAAAAATGTATAAAATATATTAGAACAATTTAACTTACTATTAAAAGGATAGTAATTATATAAAATAAACACTCTACAAATGATAACTTTGATAAATATTCGTTGTTTTTATGAGTTACATTTATATAATATCCTATTAATAAGTTAATATATTATAATATGTAAATGAGTTAATGAGTTACAGTATGCAAAACAAAGATTTTTTTTTTAATTTTTGGGATTTAATTTGAAATAAATAAATGAGCTTTTAAAATAAAGGAATTTACAACTTATTTTTATTGTTTATGAATAAAAGCAAATTCGTTACCAATAGATTATTAAATAATTACAAATTAAATCACAGAAATTATTGCTCCATGTCTTGATAAAATTTATTATAATATAAACTACTAGCACAAAATATATTTCAAATTCTGTTTCTTTTTAAACAATTTTAAATAATTTATTTTAAATAAACAAAATAAAAATATAAATAGAAAATAGTATAGAACAGAAAATTATACGGCGGGATTGAGGGAAATTAATTAATATTGAACACAATTATAAAAATTAATTGTTTATTATAATATTGTGCTTACTTTTATAAATTTAAAATAACTTTATGTAGCATTTTTTGATAGGTTAAAGAAATGGTAAACAATAAAACAGGTTTAATATTATATTTGGTTTCAAATTGTCATACGCCGTCGAAACGTGAAGCATACGTTGAAAACTTAAACCAATTTATAGCTATAACACAATATGGTAATTGCAACAATATGGCGTGTGATGAAGAATGTGCAAACAAATTAAGAAGTAAATTTTACTGAAAATAAAATTATTTGCATTGAATTTTTGCAACTAAATTAAGTATTAATTAATTAAAAATCAAAATAAAGTAGTTCGACTTTTTAAATTTTACTAATAATAACTTAAAAAACAATTCTGATGAGTTTGTTCACATTTTTCATATTTTTAATCTTTCGAAAATAATGTTACATACAATATTGAAATTGGTTTATTTGATATTTGTAATATTTTTAATTACTTCGATAAAAAATTATATGATTGTAAGGAATTAATCATATAAATTAATCATATTATTAATCATATTATATGATTGTAAGGAATTAATCAAATAAATGTCATCATATTGTGAAGTTTGAAAGTAAAATAAATAAATTAATTATTACTTAATTTAGTTGCAAAAATTATTTGCTAATTTCAAAATAAACATTTTTAATTTTTGAAAATTTAAATCTGTTTTGCTTTAGAACTGATAACATTTATTTTTATTGCTGTCAATCTAAAAAATTAGCTTAGTTCAAAGTATATTAATTATCAAATGACATATTATATTTATTTTAATAAATTTAAATGTTCTATAAACTGACATTTTAGTTATTTTAATTTTATTTTGCCATTTGTAAAAATAATTTTAGAGGTGAAAATTGTATAATAAATAAAAATTGAATAATTTTTGCATCAAAAATGTTATTATTTTCAGTGAGCCATCGTTTTTATTTGGCATTTGAAAACAGCGTATGTCGAGATTACGTGACGGAAAAAGTATTCAGAAATATGAAAGAACTTTTAGTACCTGTTGTGCTTAAGAATTCAATTTATGCTAATATCTTACCAGATGCATCATATATTGCAGCAGATGATTTTAATTCACCACGAGAATTGGCGCTTTATTTAAAGTTTTTATCACGTAATAACAGCGCTTATTTGAAGTAAAAAAATTTGTTCTGACTAACTAATTCAAATTAAACATAACTCAAATTGAACTTATTTTTTGATTTTAAGTAAGCTTAACGCTTATTTTAATCATATATTTTACTAACAATAGTAGTAATTTTTGAAGCATGTAAAAAACAAAATATTTAGTTAGTAAAATAATTAATATGATTTATTTTTATTTCTATAAAATTGAGATTAACCTTCGCAGAGAATTAACTTGAAATATATTAATTGTTAAATGACATTTTAGATATTTTGAATGGACAAAATATTATCAAAAATCTACAAGCATAAATTATTCATGCGCTTTATGCAAATATCTTCATGAGCATTCAAATCACAATACTTCTAAAACCATTTCTGATATCCGATCATGGTGGTTTGAAGAGGGACAATGCATCGATGATTATGCATGGCAACTTTTGCACAAAACTGAGATCACTACAACATGAATGCAGTAAAGAATATCATTAAACAACTTTGATCACACAAAGCACTACGAAAGAAGAACGTGTTTCACGTAAAAAAGACTACTGATACGATAACTATGTTGCTAGACGTGAGAAGAACATAAGTTAACATCCATTTTAACTAAGTTGACGATAAGTACCATAAATATGACTCCTAAAAATATTTAAAAGTACAAACAGGAATACAAAAGGAATACATGTAAGCTACTTCAGAATGCATAGCGTAAGGCAATCAATCAATCAAGCCAAATTTACCTCATGGATCAAGTAAGGCTTCAGCTTCCGACCTGCCCCATCTGAGATATCACGTCTTGCTCCTTCTTTGTTACTTGAGATTGGCTTGATTATTTTGCTATCTAGGTGAGAATTTTTTATTTTTTGGTTCTTTTGATATTTTTCTGACTTTTTTAAGCGTCAATGTTATAACGTATGTTGTATTAGTATTTGGTGCTTAATAGTGTACTAGCGGTATTTTTAAATATTGTTTTTTATTTATTGATTTTCTGTAATCTGATTTTATTTTATATCTTTTGATTACTTTTTAATTTGTTTACTTTATAACGGTAAACAAACAAAGTTCAAAAGGTCAAACAGTACTATTATTTCGTATATTTTGTTTGTTTTTGTTTCAACTACGAGCGAGCAATATATATAATTTTACTCTAATTTTATACATCTTACCAAAAATGTAATGTTTTTATTACTTTTATAAATGTTTGTTTGATTATTAAAAGTGTTTTCTGTTTAATATGCAAATCATTCAGGCAGTATAAAATGGAATTATAAATATTCACATTGCAATATAATGTTTACATTATTACTCATCAACTGTCTTACTAATTACTGTGCTAATTTATTATGCAAATAACAAATAGTTTCTGATTTTACTATCGATTGTGAAGTTATTATTATTATTATTATTATTATTATTATTATCATTGCTATCAATTAATCATTGATTAATACTGTTGTTATTATTGCTATCATTTTTATCATGTTGTTGGTATTGCTGATAAACATAGTAGAGTTTAATATTGATAAATGAAATTAATTAATATTATTGTTATTATTGCTATCAATATTATTATTGTATTGTTAGTATTGCTGATAAACATGGTAATGATTAATATTTATCAATGGCAATAATATTATTTTTATTATTGTTATCAGTTTTTTTATATTGCTGGTATTGCTGATAAATGTGGTACTGATTTTAAAATAGGTCAAATGTATGCACAAAAATTAAACAGAACTGAAGTAAGAAATGAGAGTGTTTAAAGAAGACAGTAAAACAGTACTGATAACTGCTATTGTAAGAAAATAGGACGAATACATTGATATGATGTACGAGAGGTTAATGCAGGGCAAATTTAATAATCTCAACTATAAATATTCAGTGAGTTGAAAAAAGAGTGACAGAAAAGATGACGGACGTGATCGGAATCACTGGTGGTAGCGGGTTCATTGCGCAGCATTTTATCGCTCGTTTACAACAACAATTTAATAATGATACTATTACTACTCAACAAAAAGTTACTGAAATTCGAACTATTGATCGAAGTCCTTTTTATAAATTTCTGGGTAATTTATTGATTGATTATTTTACTAATTATTGCGCTTTTTGTATTATTTATGCAGAAAAATTACAATTTATTTTAGTACGTTGCTTAATAATTAGCTTTTCAATGTACCTATTAATAGATTACTTTGACATATCAAAAAATATTTTCATCAAATATTATATTTACTTATTTCTGTTAATAATTTCTACTTTTGAATATGTAAAATTGAAATTGCATCTTTTTGTTCAAGAAGAAATTTCGCATTTGAGTATTTTTGTATTCGAGTATTAAAGTACTAAATTATTCAAGATAATAATCATTTATGATTGCTACTGATAGGAAAAGAATTAGATTAGTGAAATACTCGCAATAATTGACCTTCAATGTAATACTTTCTTTCAAATAAAATTGTGAAGTCACGAAATAACTTACAATTTTTAAAATTCTTATTTGAAAATACTAATAATAATGAAAAAGAAATAATAAATAAATAAGAAAAATTGTTAGGAAAGTATTTATTAAGTAT